GTCAGGGAGAGGCCACTATAGCCCTTTTCTTTTCCTGATGATAGTTGCTCAGAACTCTGTCATCTGATTGCTTTGACCTGATCTGTCCCTTGCAGTCAGCCTATCTCCACTGGAATGCAGAATGACCTTCTGAGGAATAAAGTAGTGTTGTTCTGCTGTCAGAAATCCTTCCAGGGAGGAGCATTTTCAAATCATTGGGATTAGTAGGTTTTTCTCACATCTTGCTTAATGGGAAATCCACACTTAGTGTTAATGAGTTGAACTGCCAACACAAAAATGGTTGATTCAAAATCACCAGCTGCTCCGCTGTAAAAAGACAGGCAATCTCCTCCCATGCATGTTACTACCTCTGAAAATCCACTGTAGAGTCAGCTATAAGTTTACTGTAACTCAACAATAAACAACCATCACCACCTGAGCTGCTTCCTAGGATTGCAGGGACCCCAGCTGGGCCCACAGGTAGGGGATTCAAACCCTGAAGGTTTCAACAGCCATGTTGGGTTAATGTTCCACACTCCATTTATTAATTGATGTTTGCAGTTGTTTCTATTCATTGTTTTTAGTGTCTTCCAACTTGAATGGCTGTATTTCTAGTACTATATTTATCAATGTTCTTTTGTTATCCTTTGGATTTTCAGTAGCCTCTTGTTTCAGAAGTGAGTGGGTAATTCTGCTTCTTAGTCTGTTATTCTGGAAGCTCTGCTGAACTTGTCTACCATGTGTGACTCTGCTAGTATTTGAAATACCAGTGATATAGCTTCCAGCATCATAGTGACATGCAAGTCTCTCCAGTACATCAAACTGACAGATAAGTGCTATATGCATAGATGCAAACTATAAACAAATAAACATACACATACACAAACTTTAAAATAAACAGCAACACTGCAGTGTCCATCAAGGAATGAATGATGAAAGAAACTATGGCACATTCACACAATGGCATACTAATCTAGCACTAAATAAAATAAACAATTCATTAAATACTCCATAACATGGATATATCCAGAGGATATTAGGTTAAGCAATTTAAGTCTGTTCCAAAATGATTATGATATAAAATTTATTATTATACAAACTAAGGAACAATTTATACAGAGATAGAATCATTGTAGAATTGTTACCATGGATTAGAAGGGTGGGAAATGGAAATAAAAATTCATAAATATATGAATTTATATGGAGGAAAGGCAATATACAATACGGTGTTGATTAATTATAACATTGTTGTCAAACAAAATGTATGAATGATCTAATGAAAAGGAAATGTTCTTTGTAACCTAAACAACATTCCTCTATAAATTCTATGAACTTTGATAAATGATGATAGTAATAGAAAGGCTTCAGGCCTTTTGTTCATAGTGTCACTATGAGTCGTGCTTGACTCAATGGCAATCAACAACAACTACTATTGAGTAAAAACAAAATTAGGAGTTGAAGTAAAAAAATTAAAATAACTCTAGTGATAATTATCACTCCAATGTAAGAAAAACATTACCAGTGTGAATACTTAGGCTTTTCAGTCTAAATTATGCTTTTTTTAATTATACGTTTTATTTGAAGTAATGTGTGAATACCTTGTTCTGTTATGAAGACAACTGATCCTGCATCTTCCTTCTGAAAGTTTTAGTCCTATATTTTACCATTTGTTCCTTTAAAATCTAATTCATGTAAACCTCTTTGTTACATTTACCTGTTCGCATATATATTCCATCTTCCTACAAAAATAAATCTCTTTTCTTCCTCCCTCTTTCAAGACTAGTTTTATTAAGAGCATTTTATTGCCTAGAATCTACAAACATACACTTATTTTTAAGGTTTTGTTTTAATGTAACCTGCTCTTCCCTAACTTTATTCCACCAGTCATAATCATATCTTGCTTCAAAAGATTTTCATTTGTTGCCTAAGATAGAAGAAAAGTGAGCTACTACACTGAATTAAACCCTTTTTTTAGATATCAAAACATACTGGCTAGTGAAGAAAGAATAATGTCATGCTCGTGTAGAACATTCCACCACAGCGCTAAAATTGTATTCTGATAATTTAACTCCACTAAAAGCAAAAGGTAAACTCATCTAAAGGAAAACACATCTTCAAGGATTAACCCATCTATTCTGCTCCTGAACCTATGATATATTTTAGTCATTTGTTTTGTAAAGATTTTAAATATCCTGCCTTTGGGAATCACCAATACTGTAAATCATTATGAAGAAGAATATGATCACTTTGAGCTTCTTTTTAATTCATTTTGACCCTCAATAATTTGGCATTTTTTTTTTAATTTAGGTTGTTTATTTTTCATTTCAATGAACATCTACAGAGATTTTGGAATTCCATTCATTCATTGTTGCACCCTTCTCCCTGCACAAACCCCCCCCCGTTTGCACCTCTCCTTGAAAAGCAAAAGAAAAACTCCCTCATTGGTACACAATCCCCCCCGCATATAACAAGCATTTATTCTTCACTTCATGCCTGAAAAGTTTCAGAAACTCAACAACTATATAATGTCATCAACTATTTAATGTTTCATCAAGCTGTGCAGAGGGTCCATGTGTTAACCCTATATTTTTTTCCTTGGCCTTGAGCTAATAACTCTTTCACCTGTGTTTTCCATAATAATTTGATTTCATGGATCTAATCTGTTCTTCATCACCAGGAATAGATGGTATACCAATTGACATATTTCAACTAACAGAAGCTGCCCTGGACGTGCTCACCAAGTTGTGCCAAGAAATCTGGAGAATAACCACTGGGCCAACTGACTGAAGAGATATATATATTTGTTCCTGTCCCAAAGAAAGGTGACCCAACAGAGTATGGAAACTATAGAACAATCTCACTGATTTCACATGCAAGCAAGATTTTACTGAAGATCATCAAAAAACTACTGGAACAGCACATCA